CTACAAATGAATAGTTGAAAAAAAACTTTAAAGTTATACACTAATTAAGAAGAGTATACATTATTGGATGACGAAATAAATAGGTAAAGCACAGTGTCTGCTGTAATAATTTTTTTTGTCTATAGAGTACCCAGCCGAAATGATGCTATAATGGAAGGTTTAACTTTTCGTTACTGACTTCATAATACAAGAGGACGTGAAATAAAGGTTTTATAGGTAACAGAACTATATATTTACCTGGAAAACGTTTCTTTGTTTACATGTTTTAAAATTTTTGTTGGTAACTTTACTTATTCTACAAATTTGTAGTCAGCTTATACATTTGTTAAGTATCATATTATTCTGTGGTACGGTCTTTTGCTGTAGTGTTCAGAAAACTAAACAAAATGATATGATCAGACTAACTAATGCATATCATACTGAATTGGTGTTGAAGTCGGTTTGTCAGTAGCATATGACAGTAACCAGTATTTTGCACATTAGCACAGTACTTCCACTGAAATTTTAGCCATATGTAACACATTCGTTCCAACAACAAACAAATATATACACAGAATGCCGAAGAATCTGACTGAAATAATAACAGCAGTTACCAACCTGTTACCAGGGCTACATTGATAAATAAAGCATTCTTAAGAAAAACAAGTATAAAATGTCCAGAAATACCACCACCAGCCACAGAATTACCAGTGAACACAAGTCCCATGACAAAAGCAAAATTGAAGTCCTGAAGGCCATAAAGTTTCTAAAAGCCGGGAAAGTAGCAGAACCATATGGAATTCCGCTGGAAGCACTGAAAACTGATGCAGAGGCAACAGCAAACACACTCACACCATCATTACAAAAGGTTGGGGAGGAGGGAGGATAGGCACCTGCTCAATGACTGGAAGAAGAGTTACCTTGTCAAACTCTCAAAGAAGGGTGACCTAAGTCTTTGGAAGAACTGATGCAGAATCATGCTCCTGTCCACCTTAAGCAAAATATTATGCTGCATCATCCTGCAAAGACTAGAAGGTACACTGGATTCAAAATTTCCAAGTGATTCAAAATGGAAAGCTCAGTGATGCTTTTGAAGTAAAGATAGGAGTAAGACAGGGTTGCCGTCTACTATCACCGATCATCGTCCTGATTGAAGTCGACTGGATCATGCAAGAAACTGTGAGGAGCGAGAAGATGGGCACACGCTGGACCGATGAAAAGAGCCTAGAAGACGTAAATTTCGCCAATGATGATGATTCTTGTCTAATGTCGCTTAAACGCGAAGATGTACAAGCGAAAACCAACAAGTTGACAAAAGAGGCGGGCAGCGAAGACGAGGTTTCCTTCAGATGAACGTGCAGAATACAGAGGTCATGAAGATATCCAACTGACAATAGTATCAACAACAAACTCCAATCACCATGAACGAGAAAGGTCTAAACGAAGAAGTTTCTGTCACTTACCGCCTAGGCAGTATCGTTTCAAATACAGGCAGCAACACAGATGACGATGTCAAAGCCAGAATCAGAAAAAATGCAAGACAGGCATTCATTAATCTTAAACCAGTGTGGAGATCTACTCCACTCAGCATTAAGCGTGAACAACATCCGGATTTTGAACACTAATTGAGTGAAGTGAGTCAGTGCTTCTATGTGATGGTTGAGAGACTTGGAGTGTTACGAAAAGCATTTTCAACGAACTGCAGACATACATCATCAACAGCTACCTCCTATGCTGGCTCGTTACTGAAGATAAGATAGCCAGAGAGAGTAAGCGACAAGGAACTCAGGCCGGCTGGGTGACGACGAACCAACCAAGAATGTGTCATTCAACAAACATGCAGAAGAATGAAGTGGAGATGGATTTGGTTGGATATACACTGAGAATACCGTTAGGTGATATCACGCACCAATCAGTGAAGTGGAAGGCAGATGGGAAGCGACGAGTTGGGCGTCTGAGTTGAGGGTAGCATGGAGGAGATGGTGTTAGGAAGCAATGAGAGATTGTGTTTTCTGTAGTGTTTGCAGGTTGAAAAGATTTCAGAGAAGAGAGTGGAATGGAGACGTGCTACTGAAGCCCTCTGTTTCATTAGGAACCCAAGGGATAAATTATATATATATATATATTTAGTGTACTGTTCAGCAAAACAACAAACACCGATGCTTTTATGAGTGTAATAGATATTTGATAACATAGGTAAATTGTTAGTTGGAATATTGATTGATTACAACAAGAGTAGATCATTTACCTCTTATTTGGCATAATATGCAAAAATTGATTGCAGTGTCATTTTTTTTAGAAATAGCATAAGTGATATTTGCAGAAATAGAGATCAGAATATGATAAATAACGAATACTTATAGTTCATAATGTATAAAGGCTGTAAAAATATACTTATTTATACACCTAAACTGCCTTAGAATGAATGATATTATTCAGATTTATTGAATGTCTTAGGTGAAAGTAGGATAAATGCTGTAAATGAGATGGAAAAACCTAAACCTTGACCTATCAGTCAGTTACTTAACTGTCTTTCTATGCAATTGAGCAGTTGCTTTGAACAACTACTCATATTTCACCATTTCCTTTTTGTCATAGTAGACCACACAGATGATCAAAGTCTTTCAACATCTTCTGGCATACGTTTTATTACAAGACTTGAATGTAACAAAAAAGTGGGAAATATTTATGCTTGTAAACATTTAAGTGTCTGTTAACACTTATCTATTAACTAATTTATTATTTATCCCTTGGGTCCCTAGTGGAACATAGATCATCAGAAGCACGTCTCCAGTGAACTCTCTAATCTGAAATATTTTCAACCTGGCTCCACGACAGCCCACAAGCTCTCAGCTCCTCCTTGCACGCTCTCCTCAATGTCAACCTCACCTCCGACGCCCAACTCATCTCTCCACATCTCGGTTCCACTTGAGTGCCTCGTCTGGCAAGTGATGTCCTCGGTCGGCCTTCTCACTTCCTTCTGCATGTTTGTTCACAGATAGCTTCTTGGTTGGTTCGTCACCACCCAACCGACCAGACACACTTCCTCCTTGCTTATTCTTATTATTCTGCCCATCTGATCGTCAGTAAGGAAGTAGCGTAGGCAGTTGTTGATCAATGTCTGTAGTTTGTTGGAAATCCCTTTCGTAACGCGCCAAGTCTCTGATCCATACAGGAGCACTGACTCACTTGACTGGTGTTGGTGTTGAAAATCTGGATGTTGTTGACGCTTTGTGCTGGCTGAGTGGAGTGGAGTGGAGTGCAGAAGATCTCCACACTGATTTCAGGTTAATGAACGCCTGTTTTGCTGTCTTTTCGATCCTGGTGGGCTTTTATGTCCTTTTCTGTGCCTGCGCCGTCTGGATAGGTGAAAGAAGCTACTTCCTTTAAGTTTCTCCCGTTGTCATAAACACATAAAGTTTCTTTAATAAGCGCAGCAGTCACACTAACTGAATCATCTTATCATCCAAATCTCTTATGTATTTGGATAGAAATAACTATGAAACAAAATGTTTGGAGATAACTATCTCAAACAAAATGAAACATAATGCTCAATCTCTTAGCTGGGTCCGATTATTGAATGATCAGTGGAATTCAGTCAGTCGTTAGGACTAGAGAATATAAAACTGGTTACTTACTCTCTGGGGGCTGAAAAATTTTAGTAAGCTATTTTTAAAACATACCATTATATCTCTGTTAAATAAAAACATTGTTCATCACTACAGTTATCAATTTAATAACGTCAGTGAAAGATGATAACACCTAACGACAAATTTCTTTCAACTCCATTTGGGACTACTGACTTATCCTATATTTTAGTGTCTATCGGCTTTTCCATCATCAACAGGAATATTCTGTTTCTTCATTCTTTTCTGACCAACAGTTTTAGGCCTGGAAGATAAATAGGCTTCGTTATTGAAGAAAGAATAGACTGAAATTTCTAAAATCCTCTACGTTTAAAGTGTCCACCTGGCTATATTCGATAATATATTCATTCGTAAGTACTTTAGTCTTAATTTTTTTTTCTTGAGAAAATATTGATTCGCTCTGTTCATGGTACTTATTAAAAGCTACATATATGACCCCATCAACTTTATCATAGTGTTGTTGAACCAATAAGTTTATCTAAATAAAAATGTTACGATCGGAAGTACTATAATTCAATCCTGAATACCGAAAAGAATATCAACAGTCTGATTACAATCAAACCACTAACAAAAATGGTACATGGTACATCAAATAAACAACATACAGCAAGTGAAAAACATCAATGAAGTTTTCTTTTGTCTGAAAAACGCTGATATTAAATTTGTTATTATTGTGGAATTTTCTTTATTGAATTCTTACTGAAAGCTTATTTGCAAAATAACCAGTACTGTACACTTTTTGCCTCGTAGAGGTTAAACTCACAACTCCTGGTACCATGGTAAGTACATTCCCTTGGATATAATGAGTCAAAAGAGGAAGAGTAATATAAGATTCTTTTTTGCTAAAATGATATATCCTCTTTAATCGATCCTATACATAATTAACAGCTTATATAACTTCTGTTTTAATTAAACATAGAATAAGTAGTGTGTTGAATGGTCATCTAGTCTTATGTAAGACCTTCTAGTAATATGTATCCTCCATTACAATCAAATTTCAGATGATTAAATTATTAGTTGGTTGGAAGCAGCCATCCTCCTTCCAGTCGTTTCTAACCAACAAAGTCCAATACGATGAAGTTCATCTAAGCTTGGTGGGCACATTGGAAATATGATCCTTAGAGTTCCGTTAACGCACAGAACCAGACTACACGATATTGTTTCTTTTTCAGTGATAAAATTACAAAAAGAAGAATCTGACTTTTAAAATACTGAGTCGTTATTACATAAGATGGTGCAAAGTACTTGTATAGGACCCTTATGATAACGAGAACAGTTAGTAGTCGATTTGAGATCTTATTCACTAATATAACTTTTACTGTTAGATAATGCATTTTTGTACAATATCAGAGATTGTGAGGGCTAAAAGCAGTG